GGCAGCCTCTGTCTGGACAGTATTCCCTTGCTGCTGCCAAGGGCTCTCAGCACCTTCTGGCCAAAGCCTGCCGAGTTCTGGGCCATCTCTGGCTACTAGCTGCCCTAACGATTAACATCATGAGTACAAGCGTGACCGTTTGTCTCTGTGAATTCCCCAGGCTCTACATTGATGTGTGTGGAACTGGGAATTAAAATGCCAGACTGCCCGTTCCCAGCTGGCCAGCGCCCTGGACCATCCTCCACCCAGCCCCAGCCGCCCACGTGGCGCTCGGCTACTCACAGATGCTCACGCGGTTCTGCAGCTCTCCAGACATCCTGCGAAGCAGAGCACACATGAGCCCAGCGTAAGGCCTGGCGGCAGCAGGTGGCAGGCTGGGCCACCACGGAGCTTCCCATCTCCCCAGAAAAGCAGGCACCGTCTCTTCTCCAACTAGCCCCACCGCTCAGACCTCATCTTGCCCTTTGGCCCGGAACACAGCCCACCTGCACTCCTCGCCCTCCAGCAGCTTGCGGTAGGTGGCGATCTCCACGTCCAGGGATAGCTTGGCTCCCAGCAGTGCCTGGTAGTCACGCAGCAGCCGGGCCAGATCCTCCTTGGAGCCCTGCAGCGCCTCCTCCATGTCCTGCAGCTTCTGCTTCGCGTCCTGGAGAGCCCGCTCTCCTCTCTCCTCTGCATCAGAAATGGCCCCATGCATCTGGTCGATCTGCTCGGGATGGTGAAGAACAGCATGGGCTGAGCCCACAGAGCTCCTTCCAGTGGACACGACCGTCAGCCCAGGCCGAGCGCCTGTCCCACCTGCTTTTTGACATTGCCGATCTCCGCCTGCAGCCTCTGGATGGTGCGGTTGAGCTCGGCAATCTCCATCTTACTGTTCTTCAGCTCATCTCCGTGTCTCCCCGCTGTGATCTGGAGCTCCTGGTACTGAGGGTCAAAGCAAACACCATGGTAGTCAGCCTGCTGCTCCCCAAGAGCCCTCCAGAGAAAGTGGGCTCATCTCCTCCCAGACCCTGTCCAAAGCTGCTGTCCCCTGGGAAAGTTCCCTGAGTGAGCCCCCCAGAGCTGTGTACGCACGCGCAAACACACACACACACACACACACACACACACCTTAATATCCATTTCAAGCCTCTGTTTCCACATCCCAGAGAGACAGTCATGCTTCTCGGTGCCCTTTAACTTCCTCTTTCCCACACCTAAGCTTCCACTCTGGCACTTGCCCGTACTGGGGCCGCCTCATGTTTTCTACCCCAACACACTCCTAAACTTTTCCAGGATGATTGCCCTAGCAATCAGCAACCCCAACATGCTCCACGTTCATTCCCATTTCCTCCTGGATATTTTTTCTATGTCCACAGGGCCCCATCCGTCGGAACCACCCAGAAGCCGTAGTTCTGATGGGGGGACAAGGTCGGTCCAGGGAATCTCCATATTCTGAGGTTTTCCCTGTTGACCCTCTGCCACCCCAGTCTTGTGCTGAATCCATGTATACAGCACATCTGCCTGTAGGGCAGTGGGAAAGAGACCAACCCCGTGTGAGGTTGCTACAGGTGATCCACAAAGTAGGTCACTACGTGACAGCTGTTCAGAACTTAGTGATTAGTCTTTGGCCCTTGTACTGCAGAGACCCACCCTCCAAAGAAGCCCAAGTCAATTCATGTTCAAGAAGTGACCAAAGATGTGCCCAAGACTGAGCTACAAAGATGTTTAGCTCATTTGTGAGGAATAGCACACTGCCCTGAAAAATGATGGAGGGTATTGAATGTCACAGAAAGACATTCATAAATGTTAAGTGAAAGGGAAGTGCAAAATTATGTTTTAACGTTAATCTTATGAAAGATACGAGAGTAAAAACCATTGTCGTGGTTGAGAGTAGGAGTTTGCAAATGCACCCCTGAATTTATCTACATTGTCCCTTACCACTATCAAATCTTAGAGAAATTAGGTAATCTCATAATCTATCATCTGTAAGTGAGGATAATGAAATCCTTATCTTATACGGTTGTTGGAAAGAGTAAATGAAACACCACACATGTAAGGCTTAGAGCAGGGGCTGGCACATGTGAGTTTTCAATAAACGTTAGCTACCAAGAACTAGCAGAAAAGTTAATAATAGGAGTAAGATATGAGTCGTCTTTAGCTGTCATTTCTAAGTTTCCTATAATAAACATGTTCTGCTTTTAAAATAAGAGAAAACAATACAAGTCTTCAGGGCACATCTGCCCTTTGGCACCGAGCCTGGGAGGAGGGCAGCGCCCACCTTGGTCTGGTACAGCGCCTCGGCCTCGTCCTTGCTCCTCTGTGCAATCAGCTCATACTGGATCCGCACTGCGTCGATGATGCTGTCCAGGTCCAGGACACGGTTATTGTCCATGGACAGGATGACATTGGTGTCGCTGATGTGGGTCTGTATCTGGGACAGCTCCTGCAAGGCATGCAGAACAGGCTGGTTCCTTCTACTTGCTTTCTAGGCCCTCAGTTTCCCTCTACTGCACCTTCAAGACTCACTGGGGAAGCCAGGACCTGGGTCAAAGGGGGGTCTTGGGGGAAGGGTCTTTGTCTTGCCACCACGCACCCAGACCTAGCCTGGCTTATTGTGTCATGAAACAGTAAGTGTCTCAGCACAGCACCTGGCCCAGGGCAGGCACAGCCAGGTTCAAAAAGCGCGAAACTAGAACCAGGGCTGGTGGCGTGGGTAAGCCTCACTACCGAGTGTGCCTTCCTTCCCTTTACAGTCCACACTCCCAGGGAGTTCCCTGAGAGCCTCGTCACTGCACTGCTTCCTGGGTGTTTTTGCCCCGGTGGGTCCCAGGTGTTAACCTCATTTCCCAGATCGAAGTGGGGATTACTTCACCTACTCCCGCCTCAGGAACCCCTGCCTCCAATTCCCAGAGCCCCACCCAGGAATCCTGCATATTGGGACTGAGAGGATGGCCGACTTTAGCCAGAGTTGAGGTAACCAGAGAGAGGAAACCCGAGGTAATGTTGGGTTTCAGGGCCCCACCTCTAACAGTCTATACCCTTTGTGACATATGCGAAAAGAGAAGGGTTCCCCGGAGAGCCAAACTCACCACATCAAACAAATATTTCAGGAAATTGATCTCCCCAGACAGAGTGTCCACCTTGGACTGCAGGTCCGCTTTGCTCATGTAGGCGGCATCTACATCCTGAACAGCAAGCAAGGACAGTCTGATTTAACACACAGGGTCGCCTGCCTCCAGCTTGCTGGGTAGCATGGGCAAGTTGCAAAAGCTCTCTGTTCTCTTTTCCATGCCTGAAAATTTCCTCATATAAGCCACCTGCTATATCTGGTTTTCTTGTTCAGAAAGAAGTGCAACCCTAAGCTCCTCGTCTCAGTTACACACAAAACCCCACATCCCTCCTGGGGCCCCAAGGTGACATGTAAATGACAGTCAAAAAAGGGTCATTGTCAGGACCCTGGAGAGGGAACTCAACGTTTCCTAATGGTTCGTATCAGCATCACTTTAGGATTTACTCCAGCAATTGGGCAACCGGAGGTGACACTGTGCATCGCTTGGCCACAGAGCATCCCACAGGAATTCCTCACTCTGCTCAGCATCCTGGATCCACAGTCCCCCAGGACACCCCTGCCCCTCACCTTCTTCAGGATGACAAAGTCATTCTCAGTGTTGGTCCTCCGGTTAATTTCGTCCTCATATCTGGGGGTGGGGGAGGCAAGAAGCACAGACTATAGGGGCTGACTTTGGCTCCTTGGAATTTCTCCTTGAAGCAGAAAGCTCAGAGTTCCCCAAACTTGTATTACCCTGGACTCTGGTTCCCAGCCCACCAGCACCAGCATCATTTGGAAACATGTTAGAAATGCAAACACTCTGGCGCCATTCCAAACCTGTGAGACTTAACAAGCTCGTGTTCTCACAGAAGTCTGAAAGCCATGGCTCTGCCCTTAACCCAAAGGAGAGTTCACCCCACTTTCCCACTGTGAAAATGCAAAGACTCAGGAAGATGATCCAGATACCTATCTGGAGCAAGGCAAAGCTCCTACTCACAACATCCTTGAAGCTGTCCTGCCCCTCCCCAAAAGGGCAGCTCCCTCCTACCAGGCCTATCTGGGCAACATGGCCCCCAGAGTTGTGCCTGGTGACCCTCATAGCATCCCTCACCCATGAGCTCTCAACCAGATACCCTGCCCCGTGAATCGGGTCCCTGCCACCTCTCCCTGAGCCTTCTGCCCTGCATGGAGACCCACTTGCTCTTGTAGTCCTCCACGACATCCTGCATGCTCTTGACCTCCGTGTTCTGGCGCATCTGCTCAGCGCTGAGAAAATCCACCTGCTTCCGCAGCTCGTTGATGTAGCTCTCCAAGATGGGCTCCAGGTTGTTGGTCCGAGTCGAGGTGTCCACCTGCTGCAGCAGCTCCCACTTCGTTTGCAGCACCTGGTTCTGCTGCTCCAGGAACCGCACCTGAGACCAAGAGATGCCTGAGTTCACCCCGAGTGTGGGTCTGAGAAGCTCCCCCAGGTCGCAAGGCCCACAGCCTATGCTGAATCAGGGTGCCTCTCGGGGTTAAGGTGTCCCCCGTTCTCTGAGGCCAAGACCCTGGTGCTGTTTGACCCGTGACAGCAAGGTCAACTTGCCTAAAATTAAGCTCTGCCTGGTTACAGTCCGGCGCTCCCACCCGTGTCCTCCTCTCTTTAACCCGGCCGCC